CTCCTGTGCCCCTTCCACCCCTTCTAGTCATTGAGCAGAATACTGCCCTTGGGAAAGTGACTTAGGGTTCTTCTTTTCTGGGCCCTCTCCCTAGGGATCTGTTGTTTCCAGCCACCTAACAGCAGCTAGAACAAAGACATTGAAGACATCAGAGGTACTACATTATAGAGGATGGCCATACGAAGAGGGCCACCTCCTCCATGGAGCCCACAATTGAGAGATGGATGGCCAGGAGTACAAATCCAAATGCACTGTGCACTCAAGGGTAGGGATAGTCAGTGAGTGCTACAGGGACTCAGAGAGGGTCAGTGATTTGCCAAAGCCACACAGCTAGTAACCTGTACACCACAAATGCCTATTCTAAAGTACATGCTCTCTCTTGAGTCATAGTTAGGAGCCATGATAACTATGGAAATGCACTCTTCTGCATTCAACCTGCTGAGGTTGAGCTTCTGCTTCTGGTGGGAGAGCAACTCATCACAGGCACCCTGAGGGAATACTGCCACTGTCCTTGGGCTTCTGTCCCTCTCTGGGAAAGAGGAAAGGAAGAGGAATACCAGTGGATACAGGGTGGACTGTTTTCTTGGCCACAAGACTGCACTTAAATCAGGGACCTGTAACAATACATTAAGCTGTTCTCTCCCTTCCCCAAATCCTCAACCTCACTGATTTGACATGGTCTTTCCTCTCAGTTATCAATATGACAGCAGGCAAAGAAGTCTGAGACCAGGACTTGGGTCCTATTTAAAACAGGAGTTTTTGCTGGGTGGCACATGCCTGTAATCAAGTTTGAGGCCAGCCTCAGAAATTTAGAGAAACCCTAATTCAAAATAAGAAATAAAAGGGCTGGAGATGTAGTTCAGTGGTAGAGTGACACGGGGTTCAGTACCTAGTACCAAAACAAAATAAAACCAAACAACAAAAAACTAACACTGTGTTCTGCAGAAGACAGAATGGCTGCTCCTTGGCAAGTTCCTCAAACCAGACAGGTGTATTCTTGGTGACACAGTTTCTCTCATTTACCATTAATGCTAGACACTCTGTGCTAGACTTCCTGAAAAATGCTGGGCTCTCTCTGGCCCTGTCCTCTCGGCTCCTTGTCTCCCTTCCTCCCCTGAGACCTGGATTGCAAGCACTTACTTCTGTAAACACGTCCAGTGCGGCTCCCCCACACTGACCAGACTGCAGGGCCCGGAGCAGGGCACCTTCATCCACAATCCCTCCTCGAGCACAGTTCACCACACGCACACCCTTCTTGCACTGGGCGAAGGTACTGTCATTCAGCAAGCCTGGAAGAAAGAGAGGACCTTGCAGAGGACTTGGCTCCCCTGAACCAGCTCTTTCCCCAGAGGCCTCTCTTCCTTCTGGAAAGCTCCCTCTGTCTTCTCACCTCTTCCTAGACGTGGAATCCCTGTCCTGGACCCAGTTTAGAAATATCCTAGGAGTTGTTGAGCTATTGGTGCTTCAAGTGCGTGTAAGAATCAGAATGGCCTGCAGGGGCCTTATGGGAAATCCACACGGGTCACTAGTTGCACATACAATCGGCTCACCCAGACACCTGTACATTTCCAGCTAGCTCACCCCTCCTTCATCTCAACAGGAGCAGCTGACAAATGCTCTGCATAACCATGTTCTGCAGGACCTGGTAGGCCCCTTCCCAAACCGGCTCAGCAGCATCTGCAGAAGGCCCAGACTGAAGGTCCACTCTATCTGGTCTGTGGCTTCTGTGGCCAACCCATAAGATAGAGGCACGCTACCTGTCGTGGAGGGTAGGAGAGGTGTGTGAACAGTGATGAAATCGCAGAGAGGCCAGATCTCCTCCAGGGGCAGCTGCTGGACACCGAAGGAAGCTGAGACTTCTGGAGAAATGATGGGATCGTACCCTATCGTCTGATCAGAAGTGAGAGAGATGAAGGAAGCGTCATTATCAAATCTGGATACTGACATTATTAATAACAGCTACCATTTATTGAGCATTTGCTACATACAAAACATCCTCCAGTTTAATTCCGATGACAACTCAACGAGCCTGGTGCTACTTTAGCACCATGGGAAGCAGGACTGTGCAGCTAGGAGGGGGCACAGCCAGAGGAAAGCTCCAACTAGAAGCAGTTACTAGAGCATTCCAGGTGTGGCTGGGCAAGGTGGAGCTTGGAAACCCTGAAACAGGGACCCTAAGTGAGGGACCACGATCACGTGGGGAGCACTGAGCTCATCACAGGGTACACCAGGCAAGGAAAGGGCTGCTGCAGATGGAAGGCATACAGGTCCAGGAAACAGACAGATGCACTAAGGATTCAGACAGGGAGGAAGAAGTGAGGGAGGAGGGCATCACTGGTGCAGACAGGATCAGTAATGACACCAAGATGTGTCACTGGGGACATGGTTGAAATATCAGAGCCGACAGCAGCAGAGAGAAAACAGTACCTTTCTTTGAAATTTCTATTAGTAGGGCTTTATGGCACAATTTGTATCACTTGGTATCTAAGACAACACGGAGGTATAAATGACTAATGGTGAGTTCTTTAACAGGGCAGGTTTGATTGGGATGGGGAGCCAGGACATCTGGGGGAGGAAAGTTTGAGACATAAAAGCACCAGGGATAGGGAAGCCTGAGACAACCTTGGTCTAGGTTGGGAAGATGGGAAGATGTGGAACCCCCCAACGAGGATCCTACCTGGGGCCACTGAAATGGAACGTGGACTCCCAGGAAGCAGGGGCAGGTAGGAAATTCGGGTGTCAACTACAGCAGCCTCATGAAAATTGGCACCAGGTCATAAGATGTCAGTGGTGGGACAACGGAAAGCTCAGATGGGAAAAAGGGCACAGGCTCCTGGCTAATACACACATATATTTTTATTAAGCTCTCACTGGGGTTTTCACCTACCTCATTCCTGATGGGCTAGGGCCTATTATTTCCCATTTTACAAGGGAGAAAATGAGGCAGAGAGGTGACAGCTGATGCAGAGCACGAGCCAGGCATTCTGACTCCAGAAGCCTGCCCTCGTCGTGGAAGTGGCTGGAAGCTGGGCAAACAGAAGAGGTGGGCAGAGGGCACAGGTCAACACGAGGACTTGGGGAGTGGTGACAGGAGCCCAGTGTCTGTCATGGGAGATATCAGCAAGGTTCCCATCAGCACAGGGAACCCAGAGAAGGCACTCTCCCTGAATCTGAGCCATCAGAGGGGCTATAACCCTGTGTGAGAAAGCAAAGGTGAAGCCAGGTGAAAACGTGTCTCCTGCATCTTGGGTGCCCAACATGCCAGTCTCAGCAAGGGTCATGCTTTCAAGGTTACCAAGCCAGTGCAAGCAGCCAGGCAGAGCCAGCAAGCAGGTATCAAGTTCTACCTCTCACAACAGCAAAGATCTATCCACTTTCTACTTGATCTACCCAAGAGGCCTTTCCAGGGCTCCCTCCAGGGAGCTCCCTCCAGGGCTGCAATACCAACTGGGGGAAAAGAGGTAGAGGAGCCATAAGAGTCTGAAAGGCATCCACATCCAAGAAGGCAGGGCGACGATATGCCAGGGTAGGCCTGCAGCACCCCAGGGATGTATTTGTAATCCAGAGCCCTGCCTCAGAGGCACCAACCACATATCAAAGCAAGTGTCAGGCCCCTCTGGACCTAGGTCCTCAATCCCAAATAAGAGTGGGTGAATGACTTCAGCCACCCCCTGCTTTAATACTCAATCCTTTAAAGTTTCTTGTAAAAAAAAAAAATTCCCCTAACACTGAGAGGAGAATGTTCAGAGCTAATCTAGTATTAAAAAAACAGGAAAGACAAAAACAAAACAAAAAACAGCATACTACTTGATCTCCCTGGGTGGAGGAATTAGGTCCCTCCTTTGCTCTTTTGAGTTCTCAACTAGATGGGTTTGTAGATTCCTTTTGGAATTAGGGGAACATAAGAATTATTTTACAATACAGTGGAAAAGAAGACTTTCATTTCCAATGCAGAACAGCTGGGGAAGAAAATAAAAAATCTTATGCATACATCAAAGCCTTTGGATTCCACATTTCATTATTTGCCTTGTGGAATGAGCCGAGAAGTCTTCTTTGTCTGCTGACACTGAACAATATCCCCATTCATCTCTAATCCAGATGTATTTTTCCTTCATGTGGAGCCAGGAGAAGAAAAGGACAGCCTCACGGAAGGAGCTCACAGCACCCTATTGGCCTGTTCTGTTCTCAGGAGCCAAGACCGGGAGGAGGAAGGATCTCGCAGTCCAGGCCTGGCTCAGTGCCTCTGCTAAGCCAGCAGGTGCCTGAAGCTGCCGGGAGCAGCCTGGGAGAGGAGCAGATAAGCATCTTCCTAGTGGTTGGCAAGGCACCACTCAGTTTCTTTCTCACAGAGACAATATCTCATTTATTTGCAGATAAATAACTACGGGGAACAAATTTGGCTGAAAAAAAAAAAAAAGCCTTGTTCTCATTTTTCCCATGAGATAACTAGAAGAGAAAGTAGCTGAACTCAGTTAGGGTTCCTACGCAGGAGAGAATAGCCTAGCATATGTTTGGGGAGTCGAAAAAATGACATCAGGTCCCGAAGTCATGTGCTTGCCCAGTGTCCTATCTATCCTGGAAAAGGTCAGATGTCCTACAGGATGCAAGTACATGCCTTTCAAAGATTATTCCCAGAGAGGATCCTTGGGGAGAAATAAGAAGGATTCCCCTATCTCAGTGGCAGCCCCAGCCCTAGCCCCAGCCCCCGCATAGACTCTCAATGTTAGAGCAACAGAGGAGGAAACCACCTTTTCTAAGGAGTTCTCCAGGGGTATTTCAGGACACCCTGGGAGGCTCTTCTTCTAGTTCTAGGGTGCTGCTGGCTCAGCACAGGATGGAGGAAAGAAAAAGCCTTCAAATTCAAGGGGCTCTAATGGAGAACTACAATGGTCACACTCCCTTCTATCCCATAGCCAAGTTCTTTAGCTTATCTCTGGAACTCTTTCTATTGCTGCAAGAAAAAAAAAAAAAACTTAAATTAAAAAAAAAAAAAAGGTTCAGTGCTCACTTAGGCAGCACATATACTAAAACTGGAACGATACAAAGCAGGTTAGTATGGCCCCTGCACAAAGATGACATGCAAATTCATGAAACATTCCATAGTTTGGGAATCCTTATATAGCATTCATGAGGTTATAAATCAGTGCATCCACGATGGAGTAGTTATCTCAGAAGACTAGGACTGGAACTACCATATGACCCAGCTATTCCACTCCTTGGCATTTATCCAAAAGAATTAAAGTCAGTGTTCTGTAGCGATACACGCATGCCCATGTTTATAGCAGTGCAATTCACAAGAGTCAAATTATGGAACCAGCCTAGGTGTCTGTCAATGGATGAATGGATAAAGAAAATGAGCTATATATAATGGAATTTTATTCAGCCATAAAGAAGAACAATTGTGTCATAAGCAGGAAAATGAGGGAATTTGAGAGTACAATGTTAACTAAAATAAGCCAAACTCGGAAAGTTAAGGATTGTATGTTTTTTCTAATGTGGAATGTGTAGAGAGAAAAAAAAAAGGGGGAAGAAATGGGGGAGGGGGGAATCTCAGGAAAACAGAAGGGAGACCATTTCAGTAGAGGAAGGAAACCAGGGGGTGGGAAAAGAGAAGTACTGGAGAATAAAATTGATCAAATTATGTTATGTGCATGTATGAGCCTACTATGGGCAATTATACTACATCAATTAAAAAAAAAAAAAGACCTGAAAGGAAAAAATAACTAATAAAGCCAGGCACAATGGTGCACACCTGTAATCCCTGCCACTTGGAGGCTGAGTCAGGAGGACCACAAGTTTGAGGTCAGTCTCAACCACTGAATGCAATCCTGTCTCATAATAAAAAATTAGAATGGCTAGGGATGTCGCCGAGTGGGACAGCGTCCCAGTTCAATCCCTAGTGCTGAGAAAAACAAAACAAACAACAACAAAAAATCAGATCAGTTCAAAGCTGCTGAGATAAAGATCCAAAGTCCAATACCTCCTGTCTCCTGGAGCCTCCTCTTTGCTCCTACCTGTGTCCCTAGGACATCCTTCCAGAACTTGAGGATCTGGGAAGTTCTAAAAGCAGTGCTTTAAGGCAGTAAGAATTCCAGGTACCAAGCGGAGATGAGAGCTGCCTCTCCCAGAGAGTGTCTGTCCTCTGAATAGCTGAGCACAGTGACATGGTACAGGGGCTACATTAAACTTGTAGAGATCACCAGTGAAGCCAGTGGTGGTCCTGGGCCAAGAGCACAGGCAGAGTGCAGGAGACTGCTCCTCTGTCTAGTCCTGTCACCTGGAGCTTATCAGATGACCTTGCTGGGACTCAGTTCTCTTATCTGTAAACCTGGGGTAATATGTTCAGGCGGTAGGCAGGGTGGTTGTGAGCAGAGTGACCGGACACGGCAGACATCAGTAAACATTAGCTGAGTCTGATGGCTCAGTAACAACTGGTGGCTCAGGTTCAAGGTCCATCCTTCTGGGCTAAAGTCAGATTCATCCCAACACTGGCCACAAAGAAACTGTTAAGGGATGCTGATCCCTCCCTCTGGAAAACTTGGATAAGAAAGCACAAGGCTTAGTTCCAAACTGGCTTGGGTCTGTTAACACATTGTAGGGGACAGACGAGCACAAACTAGCTGAGTCTTTATTCGGCAACACTATTGAGAAGAATGTCTAAGGAAGAGGAGTATTAAGTGTAAGACCTTATGGCTCACACCACCAGAAGGCTGCAGGCTGATTAGTACAAGAGTGTGTGGAATTACACCTCCCTTGCTCTGGAATCTGTACTTCTTTTAATGCTGCCAAAAGTCATATTATCTTTTTTATCACATTAATCACACTGCTCTTTTGTCAACCAAAGCCATCCTCTCCCAAGGAAAGGTTTTCACAAACGCTTCTCCATGCAAAACTTGTCTAGTTGGGCCGGGGTTGTGGCTCAGCAGTAGAGTGCTCCCCTAGCATGTGCGAAGTACTGGGTTCAATCCTCAACACCACGCAAACATAAATAAATAAAATAAAGGTATTGTGTCCAATTACAACTAAAAACTAATTATTAAAAAAAAAAAAAAAAAAAACCTTGTCTAGTTGTTTTTCGGACACACAAAAAAGGAAACGATTCTAGCTAAATTTCCTGGTAGGATGCCTAATTACTACGTGAGCTTTCTTATGTCTTTTAGGACCTGATTCTGCATTAAATTCCTTTCCTTGCTTCCTGTCATCCACAAATGACACATGGTCCAGGCTTTTAGGAGACAAAGTAGACCCCTATTCGTGGACAATCTTCCTCCAGATGGACAGTGTCAATTCTTCAACCTGTTACTAATCACTTTAACAGTGGAAGCACCACCAAGCTCAGGGGTGCTCTTAGCCTCAAAAGACCATGAAAGAGATCTAAAGTCTACGTTTGCAAACAATCTATCATTGAAGGTATGACAAAAAAAAAAAGGCAATTTATCCATACAATGGAATTCCACAAGAGTTTTAAAATGTGGTAAATCTAGCCAGTCTAAAACCTATAGTTTTATCACCTTCTTTCCATACTGGGAATTGAACCCAGGCACAATCCACCATTGAGCTACATCCCCAGTCCTATTTATTTTTTATTTTGAGACAGGGTCTCACTAAGTTGTCCAGATTGGCCTTGAACTTGTGATCTTCAGTCTCCCAAATTGCTTGGGATTACAGAAATGCATCACTTCACCAGGCAACATTTTTATTTTAATATCACACACAATACTGTGTTCTCTACCAGCACAGATCCATAAAACTGTATGCATTTTATATCAATGCACAGAAAAAAAAATTTGTGCATTTAGGTAATACATGCCAAACAGACTAGGATTGGGAAACTAGATAAGATTTAAAAAAAAAAAAAAAAATCTATATCCTAATTTTCCTGAGAATGAATTCATTTATTATATGACCAAAATATATTACTTTCACCGATTATACCCCATCATTCTATATATGGGATATCCATAAAAAACCTAAACTGAACAATAAATGTAGTACTTATGGTTGCTTTGAACTAAATATTGTCTTTAAGTTCTGCTCTTGTGAGAAAAGTAATTGGTACGCTTGAAAATAGATATTTTAATACTTTTGAAAATATATGTATATTTCTAGATGTATTTATGAAAATTTGTGTGTGTACATAAATAGATATGTAAAGGCTATATATGCACTAGATTATGATTTCCAACATATTTTAATGCACCTGTGTAGATTTCATTGAAATATCTGCAGAATTTAAAACTTTGGACTTACTGGTTTAAACAGTCCAGATAAATGATATTTTCCATGCTCTACCAGTTCAGTAATAGTTTCCAAAGAGAACAAGGCTAGTTTGAAACAGCCAGTGTTTAATAAACATCAATCATTGTTTCCTCTCTGGACACTCATAAACTATCTTTTTCTTAATTTGTTAGAGAATCTTCCTTCCTTTATAAAGGCGTCTTGCTCTCCGTGACTGCTAGACAATGGATAGAAGTTTGGATGAGGAGATTGGGCTCTCTCTGCCCTAAAACAAAACTCATCAGGACACAGAAGTGTATTATTAGAGAACATGGCCAAGTTGAGCAGCCAAGAAAGAGAGGCCCATTTGGACCGCTCACAAATGACCAGGGCCAGGCAGCTCTGGAGGGGCCGAGGTGGGAGGGGGACATTCCAGAAGTTTACAAAGAGTGTATTTCAAAACCAAGACAGCTGTGAGTGACCTTCCAGATACTCTGGGACAGAAGATTTCCCAGGGGAAGCATGTGTACTCTCAAGGCTGTCGTCGTCGTGGGAATAAAACATTTGAGAAAATATGTTGTGGGTGATCTGCTGGAAACATAGGAAAGGAAATCCGCAGGCTCCAGACATCTCTCTGAATAAACACGTGCCTGAGAGGTATCAATCCTTTCCTGACATTGACACTCAAGGTTCCAAATGCCCATGCACCTCAAAAGCAGCTAGGGGTAAGCAGTCGGTAAGCAGATGAACAAGCTTCACTGCCATTGCCACTATCAGGAAACGAAGTGGGGTTTACCGGCTGGACTCGGTCACCGGTATGATCTCCTTGAGGACTAATGTTCCTGAGCTAGAAGAGTCTGGTGGGTGGTGGTACGCCAGGAAGGGGAGAGGGAATTAGGGACTGGCTGCTGGCATCTGTCTCCAAGTCACTGCATCATCAATGAAACACTCATCTGGTTGGCTTCATGTGCTCTTAGTGCTCTTTAACCCCTGATGTTGTGGTTTGGATATGAGGTTCCCCCAATAAAAAAGCTCATATTAAATCATGGAGCAATGTTCAGAGGTGAGAAGATTATAAGATGAAGCTGTAAGTTAATCAGTGTACTAATCCATTTGATGGATTAATGATTTGGAAGGACTACTGCACTGGGCGATAACTATTGGCAGGTGGGGCGTGGCTGGAGGAAGTAGGTCATAAGAGGCATGTCTTTAGGGTTCATGTTTGGTCCCTGAAGCATCAATCTTTCTGATTCCTGACTGTCATAATCAGAGCAGCCTTCTTCCACCATGGTGTTCTGCCTCATTTGGGCCCACAGCAATGGGATCTAACCATGAACTGAGCCCCTGAAACTAGGAGCACAACAGCAACTTCTCCTCCTCTGAGTTGTTCTTGTCAGGTATCTTGGTCACCGTGATGAAAATCCAACTACCATACCTGATCTTAGGTTTTAGAAGATCAGAATTCTCCATGGGCTATAGGCTGACCTTGATTCTCACAAAACATAAAGGAGGAGAAAGTGTTGTTGATGGCTCATGGCATCCCTCTACCCCTACACACAGGGCAAGGATGTGGTTGGTTTTCATGATCAAAAGATCCTGCTGGGCCATGCCCACCTTTCTCGGGGATCTAGAAAAATCTCTCTCCTCCCCGTTGCTGAGATTGATGAAAGAAATCTGACTTAAATAAATAGGGTGAAGAATGGAGGCAGGAAGCAGAGGAAGATATTCAGTGTGGTATAATGGGATGCCCATATGGGTTCTAGGCTGCCACCCATTTCTGAGTTCTTAGGCAATGACTTACAAATCTGGAAATCAATATTGAGTTAAGGGTTGACCTATAACATCCCTTCTAGCTCTAAGAAGATAGGAGGGATACAGATGAAGAGAAAG